TGGGTAGTGGTGACACATGCCTTTACTCTCAGCACACTAGAGAGGAAGTATATGGTGGCTGGAGACAAGAGTGCAGTATATTCAGTCTGCAGTCATGCTGAGGAGAGAATTGCCCAAGCCTTGATAGAAGTAAGAACTCTCTAGTTGGCTGCTTTGCTTTTCTGACCTTCAGTTTGAACTTCAATGTCTCTCACTGGGTTTTTATTAATTGTGTAATATATGTATGTTCACAAAGAGCATGTCTGATCCCATCAGAGGGAAGAAGAATGTGTCACATTCCTTAAAATAAAATTATAAACAGTTGTGAACTACTATTTGGTGCTAACAACCAAATTTGGGTCCTCTGAAAGTATAGCAAGTGTTCCTATCTGCTGAGGCATCCTTCCACCATGATTTAATTACATATTTAAATTAATACAATGGGTTTTAATCTTCAACTTCTGAGTTGCAATGTTGCATTGACTAGTTAACAACCAATGTACAAGATAAATACTAACTTATCTAATATCATATCCCTAGAAGTCATGTTCATTAACTGTATTAATGTCTATGTCAAGTATTATTGTTATCCATAATGCCAAAATTACATTTTACACTACACATTCAGAGTTCATCTTTTATTTATCTATCTTTGACTGAATGAAAATTTCGCTTGACTTGTTCAGCAGCCTTTCTGATAATAACCTATTTGAAAGTGAACATCAATGCTCATGAGCTTAAGTGAGTCCTGAGATTATATCAAGAGGATTTAAACCCAAACATATCCACTTATCACTAATAGATGAAGATGTGGCCTAGGATCATGGGTACCAACTGTGTTCTAACATTTAAAAATAGAAGCACAATTTGGGTTTCACAATCATGTTACCTTATTTTAGAGTAAATAATCTGTTCCAAGTCATTTATTTCTTAGTTACTTTTGAGTGTAGGGCATGCTGTTTTTATTTTCCACAAAGGTTTCCTCATATAGTCTTGCTTGATTAAATATATAGTGTATTTTATGTTAAACTGCTGTTGTTATATATGGTGACCAGTCTCTACCTGATAGCATTAGACATATTCCATAAAATGTAAATTGTGGTTATTAAATTTGCTAATTTTGACATTAATTACCTTTGGATATCTTCCAGAATTTTATCTTGTACTAGAAAAAGATGTGTTCAAACATTAACAAATTTAATGTCTTGATTTCAATGCTGAAAATCCCCAAATCATGTACCAAAATTGCAGAGAGATACACATCCACTGTGGCATAACCTCCTTTTGCCTTGCTACTAAGAGCTTCTGTGAGAGTATACATCAGGGGAAAATTATCGTTCAGCAGGTTGACCCATCAGAAGCATGATTGCCTGGTGAGCAGCCACACTTGGAAAGGTAGTGGAATCCCTGGCTATGGAAACCAGTTGCTCCAGTCTGTAATTTCTCTCATGAGACACTTCATTTCATGTCTAATAACAGCTTAGGGTGTATTAAAAGTGCTTGTGCATTTACCTCACAAAAACATTGCATCTACTGGGCATGAAGACAGCTGTGGATAGCCAGGAAGATGATTCTTAAACTGTATAATTTTGATGAACAGAAATAAATTCTAGGATATTTTACATTACTCAGACTGACATAGGATTTCCACCCACAAAGGCTGCCTTTTACAAAACCAGCTAGTTTTGACTTCAGAGCAGATTCAAGGCAGGTTGGTTGCCCCTAGAGACAAAAATCTGGCAGTCCCTAGAGGCAAATACATGATGTCATTTTTCTCAGGTGTTTTTTTAAATTTCAAGGCCATAGATCAAAGCAAATTTAGTCTCTATGAGCTCCCTACAACACAAGGTCTGGCTAATTATTTGTTATTGATAAGTCTTGATTTCAAAAGTCATTTTCTACATGGGAAAGTGCTATATGCATGGGTAAAATGAGACATTGCTTCCCTGAGTGAAACTATGTGACTTAACATGGGTTATGAATATGGGTTGGGCCCTGAAAAATAAAATACAATGTGCCAGATTTGGCTGTGAGGGAAGCAGAAGGCAGAAGCTGGGGATGAGGCAGAGGGCAGAGGGCAGAGGCAGAGGCAGAAGAGGCAGCAGACAGGAGTGTCAATGAAGCAGTAGAAAGATAGTAGCAAAAGGGGGGCAGAGAAAGAAAAGGAGAGAGGAAAGAAAAGGGTATAATTAAGTAGAAAACAGCTGCTGGATAGAGCATTGATAGGAGAGGGAGATTTTTCACAAAGAATTTTTTAAAGATGAAGTAAAGAGAAATTTACCCACAGAAAGCATCCCTGTTTCCTTATTTTCCCTCCTCAGACAGAAAAGTCTAGTAAACCTCAAGTAAGTATCTGTCCAAATCCCCCCACCTTCATGGATTTCCTTATTTACCCTAGTTCTGACTGGGGGTTGGACCCTAGAAGTAAGCAACCTTTTGCATTATTCTTTTCATTACAACATGAAAGTGTGTTGTGTGTTTGACCTCAGAGAAGTACCTACTAATATTATAAGTTCCCAGTGTCTCCTTTCTTTATGAGGTAGACTTACCTGCCAAGGTAGAAGCCTGTCCTGGTTTATGTCTTTGTGAGAAGCTATTTCTGTTTTACTCAAAAGCATTTCATGGAGGGCATGGGCCACTGCATACACTGCATTCCATATGGAAACGCTGGGCTCAGAAGTGATCATCACAACCTGTATTTCCTGTTTATTCTTTAGCGATATATTCAGTGGGCAGAGTTCTTGAACTCCACATAGCAAAGGAGAAGGTGAACAGTGAAAATTGTCCAGCCAGAATTTATGGAAGTAAATACTACTTGGGTAATGTGAGGGAGTAAGTGCCTGGACAAAGTGCTTGAAGCCAGGGATATTTCTCTTCTTTGAAAATGAGAAGCTACCTTCAAAAAAGGACATCAAACCAATCCACTTATAAAATACAGATTGTAAGTAAACAAAGTTGGGCTTTGCCATGATCCACATCTTCTTTCTCTTTGATATAATTTCATTTTCTATGTAGAAAATCGTTACATCATCTATATCGCCATAAAACACATACACATTTACTTTTGTATGTTGGCTCAAATCCACCATCCCTACCTCAAAGAGAAAATCCACTTTCATATAAGTTGGTATTGTTTCTGTAAAAGCCACACAGATGTCTTCTGAAGCAAGCTCTGCTGTCAGGTCAGAGAGGAACTCCCTTCCATGTATGTCATCAGCCACAATGAGCCCCACCCACTTCCAGCCAAAGTACAGCAATAAAAAGATCACCCCTTGGGTCAGAGCTTTTTCTTGAGGAGAAATCTGGTACAAGGATTGGAATGTATCTTTGTCACTTAGCACAGAATGAAACAATCCATATGTGATCTGAAGAAGCAAAGAAAAAAATATTATTTTGAGTTTCTATTTTGTCAGGGATCAGAGAACACCTCCAGCAACTTCCCAGGTTACCAAATGTGAAATGCTTCTTAGGAGTGACAGATGTTTTAAAGATTTTACAGTAATCATTTTCTCTATGCCTCCTACCCAAAAGTGAGTGAGTAAATACCATGTTTGTCTTTCTGTGACTTGGTTACCTCAATCAGGATGGTTTCTTCTGGTTGTATCCATTTGTGTGTGAATTTCAAGATTTCATTTTTTTTTTCCTGCTTAGTAGTAATCAATTGTGTAAATGTACCACATTTACTTTATCCATTCTTTGGTTGAGGGGAATCTAGGTTGCTTTCAGGTTCTGGGTATTGCAAATAATGCTGCTATGAACATAATTGAACAGCTGCCATTGTTGTATGAATATTCATCCTTTGAGTATATGCCTAAGAGTGTGATTGCTAGGTCTTTAGGTTGACTGATTCCAATTTTCCTGAGAAAACACCATACTGATTTCCAAAGTAACTGTACAAGTTTACACTCCTACAAAAATGGATGGCCTGTTCCCTTTTCCCACATCCTCACCAGCATAAACTGTCACTGATATTATTGATTTTATCCATTTGGATGGGTATAAGATTGTATCTCAGACTGTTTTGATTTACATTTCCCTGATGGCTAAGGATGTTGAACTCTTTCTTATGTGTCTTTCAGCCATTTTAGATTCCTGTATTGAGAATTCTCTGTTTAGTTCTGTACCTAACTTTTTAATTAGATTATTTGGTGTTTTGGTGACTAGCTTCTTGAAGTCTTTGTATATGGAAAGCAGCCCTCTGTCAGATGTGGGGTTAGTGAATATCTTTTCCAATTCTGAGGACTACAGTTTTGTCTTGTTGACTGACTGCTCTGCCTTACAGAACATTCTCAGTTTCAGAAGGTGCCATTTATTAATTGTGAATCTCAGTGTCTGTGCTACTTGCATTATGTTTACAATCCACACCTCCTGAGAATCTCAGAAACAATGAGGACCCCAAGAGAGACATATATGATCTCCCAGAGAAGGGGAAACACACTAGAGCTCCTGAACAACTGGAAGCACAGGGTGGAGGGAGGAGGGAGGTAGAAGAAAGTGCAGTGGAGGAGGGGGGAGAAGAGCATGAGTGATCAGGAAGATTGAGTCAAGGGATGAATAGAGAAGAGCAAGAGAAGAGACACCTTAGTAGAGGGAGCCATTTCAGGTTTAAAGAGAAATCTGGCTCTAGGGAAATGTTCAGAGATCCACAAAAATGTGCCCAAATAAGAATCTAAGCAATAGTGGAGAGGCTACCTTAAAAGGCCTTCCCCTGTAATGAGGTTTATGACTACCATAAATGCCATCCTAGATCTTTCATTCAGTAGCTGATGGAAGCAGAAGAAGAGATCCACAGCTAAGCACGGAGCTGAACTCCTGGAATCCAACTGTAGAGAGGGAGGAGTGATGGAAAATGTGTCAAGACCATGCTGTGAAACCCACAGAAACAGCTGACCTGAGCAAGTGGGAGCTCATGGACACCAGACTGACAGCTGGGGAACCAGCAAAGGACCAAACCAGGCTCCCACATGTGGGTGTCTGCTAGGAGGTCTGGGCCTCTGGTAGTAGAACCAGTATTTATCCTTAGTGCACAGATGGATTTCTGGAGCCCATTCCTCATGGAAGAATACCCTCTCAGCCTGGATTCACAGGGGAGGGCATAAACCCTGTAACAAATGACTTGATAGACTTTGATGATCTCTCACGGTAGGCCTCACCCTTCCTGGGGAGTGGATTTGGGGGTTGAATTCTGGTCAGTGGTGGAGCATGGGAGGATAGGAGGGTGAGGGAACTGGGATTGGTATGCAAAATAAGACTGTTTCTAATTCAAATCAAATTTATAAAAAAAAATGCTGAATCCAACACACACACACACACACACACACACACACACACACACACACACACACAATTTCTATTGTAACTTCATCCTTCATCCACATTTTGTTATAATGTTCTTTATTGTTCTTCCATGTGGTAAAAGTTTCCAGTTTATAGACTCTTCCTTCCTTCTCCACCACCACAATTTCTCCCAAACCCTACTCCTGTCCAAGGCCCCCATTACCCCAGGATCTCTCTGGGCCTGGGACTGCATTGAGTGGACCCGCCCAGACAGAGAGAACCTCCCTGAGTCTGAAAATACCTCACTCTCCCCCCCTCTGGTATCCTGACCACTCCTGAGTGAGGAGACTACCAGGAGAGGAAAGACCTTCCATAGCTGCACACATTGAAGACTTGGCCCACACTTACAACCAGGTGACAAAAGGAGATAGAGAGACCCCCACCTTCACCCACTGGAAGAAGAGATGGGAAGAATGCAGAATAAGAACACACTCAACAACAGAAATACCAATATGACACCACCAATATCTGGGGACTCCAACCAGCAAGATCTGAAAAACACAACACAGAGGAAGAAGAAGAGACAAACCGAAAAATCTACTTTATGAAGGTGTTTGAGACTCATAAAGAGGTAACAAGAAAATCTCTTAAAGAAATGGAAAGAAGAACAACCAAAAGAATTCAAAAAAAATTAGTAATTTTCTTAAATAATCTAAAGAAAAAGCAACCAAACCTGTGAAGGAAGTACCTGAAACTGTTCAAGGCATGAAATCTGAAATAGAAACAATAAAGAAACACAGAATGAGGGGATGCTGGAAATAGAAAGGCTGGATAAAGGATTAGAATCTAAAGATGTGAGTATAACCAATAGAAAACAAGAGATGGAAGGGAGATCCTCAGATGTTAATGACTCACTAGAGGATATACAGTCATCCACCAAAGAAAATCTCAACTCCAACAAATCCCTAGCAGAAAATATCCAGGAAATATGGAACACTGTGAAAAGGCTGAACCTAAGAATAATAGGTATAGAAGAAGCTGAAGAAATACAGCTCAAAGGTACAGAAAACATATTCAACAGAATCATAGAAGAAAACTTCCCCAACCTGTAGAAGGATATGCCTATGAAAGTAGAAGAAGCTTACAGAACACCAAATAGACTGGACCACAAAAAGAAGTCCCATCTCCACATAATTATCAAAACCCAAAATCTTCAGAATAAAAAGAAAACATTAAGAGCAGCAAAGGGAAAAGGTCAAGTAACATATATAGGTAGACCTATCTGAATTACACCAGACTTCTCAATTGAAAATTTGAAAGCCAAAAGATGCTGGATAGATGTCTTACAAACACTAAGGGAACACAGACTACTGTACCCAGCAAAGCTTTCAATTATTATAGATGGAGAAAACAAGATATTCCATGACACAATCAGATTTACAAAATACATATCCAAAAACCCAGCACTACAGAAAATTCTGGAGGGAAAACTCCAACCCAACAAAATAACTGCCCTCACAAAAACATAGGCAACAGATAATCCAACTTTACCAAAAACATAACAAAATATTAAGGCAAAATACACACACAATGACACCACCAACAATAAATCCAAAACAAACAAGAACCAACAATCAATGGACACTAATATGCCTCAATGTCAATGGTCTTCACCTGCCTATCAAAAGATACAGGCTAACAGAATGGATATGAAAACAGAATCCATCTGCTGTATACAAGAAACATACCTCAACTTCAGAGAAAGACGTTACTTCAGAGTAAAGGGTTAGGAAAAGATTTTCCAATCAAAGGGACCCAAGAAACAATCTTGTGTAGCAATCCTAATATCTAACAAATTAGATTTCAAACAAATATCAATCAAAAGAGATGAAGAAGGGCAGTTCATACCCATCACAGGAAAATTCCATCAAAGGGGTGGGTACCAGGCTGGTGAAACCCACAGAAACAGCTGGCATGAACAAGAAGGAGCACATCGACCCCAGACTGCTGTTTGGGAGGCCAGAGCAGGGCAGTTCCAGACCCTTGAACATGGATGTCAATGAGGAGGCCTCTGCACTCTATGGGGACACTGGTAGTGGATCAGTATTTTTGCCAGTTGTAAGGAGGGAATTTGAGATCCCATCCCACATGAAGGGATGCTCTCTTGGCCTGAACACATGGGGGAGGGCCTAGGGCTGCCCCAGGATGATGTGCTGGACTTTGGGGAAAACCCATTAGGGGCACTAACCTGCATGGGGAACGGAGGGGGATATATGGGGCAAATGTGGGGTTGAGTAGAGGGATGGGGGGAAGGGGAGGGAGAGGGAGAAGGGATTGACATGTGAAGCAAGCTTGCTCCTAATTTGAACTAATAAAATATGTGGTTAAAAAAAAAAGATGAAGTCTCAATCCTGAACATCTATGCCCCAAATACGAAGGCACCCACATTTGTAAAAGAAACATTACTAAAGCTCAAACTACACATAAAACCAAACACACTTATAGTGGGAGACTTCAACCCCCTGCTGTCAACACTAGACATAAACACCATAAGAAACTTAACAAAGAAACAAAGGATATAATAGAAGTTTTGAATGAATTGGGTTAATAGACATCTATAGAACATTCCATTCCAACACAAAAGAATATACCTTCTTCTCAGTGCCACATGGAACCTTCTCTAAAATTGACCACATATGTGGCAACACAGAAAACCTCCACAGATACAAAAAATTGAAAAAAGGCCCTGTATCTCATCAGACCACCATGATTTAAGATTAGAATTCAACAGCAATACAAATTGCAGAAAACCTACAAAGTCATGGAAATGAAATAACACCCAATTGTACCATTCCTGGGGTGAGGAAGAAATAAAAAAAAGAATTAAAGACTTCCTAGAATTTAATGAGAATGTAGACACAACATACCCAAATTTATGGGATACTATGAAAACAGTACTAAGAGGAAAGTTCATAGCATTAAGTGCCCACATGAAGAAACTGGAGAATAGTCACACTAGAGAATTAATAGAACAACTGAAAGCTTTAGAGCAAAAAGAAGCAAACTCACCACTGAGGAGTAAATACCAGGAAATAATAAAACAGATGGCTTAAATTAGTAAAGTAGAAACTAGGAAAACATTACAAAGAATCATTGAAATAAAGAGATGGTTCTTTGAGAAGATCAACAGTAGCCTTACTACACATAGACAATAAGAAGGCTGATTAAGAAATCAGAGAAACATCACCCTCTGACTCTTTAAAGAAAGAAATTAACAAAGATACCAGAAAATGGAAAGATCTCCCATGATCTTGGATAGGTAGGATCAACATAGTAAAAATGGCGATCTTGCCAAAAGCAATCTACAGATTCAACACAATCCCCATCAAAATCCCAGCACAATTCTTCACAGACCTTGAAAGAAAAATACTCAAGTTTATATGGAGAAACAAAAGACACAGGACAACCAAAACAACCTGTACAATAGGGGAATTTCCTGAGGCATCACCATCCCAGAGTTCAAGCTCTATTATAGAGCTTTGGTCCTCTAAACAGCTTGATATTGGCACAAAAATAGGCAGGTAGACTAATGGAATTGGGTTGAAAAACCCTGATACTAACACACATACCTAAAAACATCTGATTTTTGACAAAGAAGATAAAGATAAACAAAGGAAAAAGGTGAGCATCTTCAACAAATGGTGCTGTCATAAGTGTATTCTGGCATGTAGAAGACTTCAGAAAGATCCATGTCTGTCGCCATGCACAAAACTTAAGTCCCAAAGAATGAAAGACCTCAAAATAAATCCAGCCACACTGAACCTCTTAGAAGAGAAAGTAATAGAAACCCTTGACTGAATTTGTACAGGAGACTGCTTCCTGATATAACAACAGGAGCACAGACATTGATATCTACCATTAATAAACTGGACCTCCTGAAAGTGAGAAGCATCTGTAAGGCAAAGGACACATCAGCAAGACAAAATGACAGCCCACTAAATGGGAAAAGATCTTCACCAACCCCACATCTGACAGAGGCCTGATTTCCAAAATATACAATGAACTCAACAAGCTAGAGACCATAACAGCAATCAATGAAATTAAAATGTGGGGTACAAAACTAAATATATAATTCTCAACAGAGGAATCTAAAATGGCTGAAAGACATTTAAGAAAGTGCTCAAAATCTTAGCCATCAGAGAAATGCAACTCAAAACAAGTCTGAGATACCATCTTACACTGGCCAGAATGGTTAAAATCAAAAACACCAATGACAATCTGTCTTGGAGAGGATGTGGAGAAAAAGGAACATTCCTCCATTGCTGGTGGGAGTGCAAACTTATAAGACCACTTTGGAAAATGTATGGCAGTTGCTCAGGAAAATGACAATCAGTCTACCTCAAGATTCAGGAATTCCTCTCTTGGGCATATACCCAAATTATGTGTGTTTATACAACAAGGACATATGTTCAACCATGTTCATAGCAGTATTGTTTGTATTAGCAGAACCTAAAAGTCACCTAGATGCCCCTCAACTGAAGAAAGGATAGAGAAAATGTGGTGCATTTATACAATGGAGTACTACTAAGCAGAAAAAAGCAACAGAATCTTGAAAATCACAGGAAAATGGATGGAACTAGAAGAAACCATCCTGAGTGAGGTAATCCATTCACAAAAACACAAACATGGTATTACTCACTCATATATGAATTTCAGACATAGAGCAAAGGATTAGCAGCCTACAATCCCTTCACCAAATGAACTAGGGAACAAGAAGTACTCTAAGAGAAAAATGCATGGGCCCCTGAGAATGAGAAAGGGCAGGAAATCCTGAGCTAATTGGAAACATGAGTGTAGGGGAGAGGGAGCTGCCAGAACGTGAGGACAAGAGGAGGGGATAGGAGGAAATGGAGGAGCTGAAAGTTTGAATAGGGGGAAGGATAGAGGAGAGCAGGATGAGAGATATCATAACAGAGGGAGCCATTATAAGTCTGAGGAGAAATCTGGCACTAGGGAGATTTCCGGAGATCTACAAGGATGATACCAAGTGACAATCTAGGCAATGGTGGAGAGGCTACCCTAAATGCCCTTCCCCTATAATGATACTGATGACTACTTTATATGCCATACTAGAGTCCTCATCCAGTGGCTGATGGAAGCAGAGTCAGGCACCCATATCTGAACCATACACTGAACTGAACTCTGGAACGCAGGTACAGATAGGGTGGAATGAAGATCAAAGTGGTTGGTCCTGGCTGGTGAATCCCAAATAAACATCTGGCCTGAACAAGGGGGAGCACATGGACCCCTGACGGATTACTGGGAAACCAGCATGGAACTGATCTGGAACCCAAGAATGTTGGTGTCAGTTAGGAGGCCTTGGAAATCTATGGGGCCTCTTGGAGTATATCAGTACTTATTCCTAGCATAGGAATGGACGTTGGGAGCCCATTTCAAATAGAGGGATATTCCCTCAGCCTAGACACATTGAGGAGGACCTATGCCCCATCCCAAAGGATATGACAGACTCTGAAGACAACCCCAATAGAATAACTCACTCTCCCTGGGGAGCAGTAATGCTGTGTGTTAGTGGAAGGGCAGGGCAGGAAAGGAGGGATTGGGAACTGGCATTGACATGTAAAACAATCCTTCTAATTTAAATAAAAATGGAGGGAAAATGGAAAAGAGCAAGGAATGGGGATCTGGGGGCACATCACCAATAATTGTTGCCTCATCCTTCCCTACACACACATTTAATGAAGTCATCACCTAGCATTTAGTGTAAAATGCGAGTCTGTGAGAAAGACAGAAATAATCATGTATATCATGATTTCTTAATTTAGGATGCAATGCATATATATATATGAATTGTTTTACTGAGTGATAGTAATCAGTATTGCACTATCTGTTTTCCTAATCTTGATTAATTACCAAGCATGGGGTCTAACCTAATGCTTTCTCAGTTTGTAGTGATGCTTACAGATAGTTGCTTTGCCTCAGTATTGCTTTGTAAGAGCCTATTGTGGGGATATCTCTAAGTGGATGTTCTCTGTGAGTGCTACTCAGAGATCTGCTTTCCTGAAGTATCATACTTTCCTTGCAAAATTTTTCAGTAGTGATGGCATGAGGATTGTTCCAAATTTATTTCTATGTTCTGGGTTCTCTCTTCCTCTATCTGTCCATTGTTGAATACTGGATAAACTGAAAAGATTATACCCTATCTTGTGTAGTTAGTTATATGACTAGTGAGCAGCACTTATCTATGAAGCATCATGGTACATCTTGCCAATGATTGAAGATAGAATCATGAATACTACTAAGTGATCTCCTTAGGAATCCAAGTATTTACTGCTTATGTTTTCACCACACTCATTCCACCATTGATCATAGCAGGATCCAGATAATTCATTCACTTCTATTTTAAATCAAAGGCAATAAACAAGTAACTCAGTTTTCTTTTGTTTTGTATCCTACATGACTGTGGATATCAAATTTTACAAACTTACTTGTGGAATTTTGTAGAGTTCCAAAAGAGTTCCAATTGCAGCAGAAAATTCAGGCCTGATTCCCGCAATGATTCCAAGAGCTTTGTGTTGAGTTTTGCATTTGTAGTTAGGAATAAACTCACTCCTTTCAGACAACCACATCAGAAGGCCCTCTAAAGTTTGGCGGTGAGTGTGAAAGGCATTGTAGAGGTGGAATCCCAAGGTTACATTGGGAAGCAGATGGGCATCCTTATTGATCTCCTCAATGGCAAAGTATAAAGTCAGCAAATATTGGTAGTTTTTCCATTTCCCTCTAAACAGGAGGGGCAGAATGATGAGCACAGTTAGGGCATTATTGTCAGAAACTCATAACAAATTTGGGATATTAGAGGATTTTAAGCCCTGACCTCTTTACTGACATGTAAGACTAGTGTGAGTGAGCCCCTGGCAGCTAAGGAACATCATGGAATGGCTCAGGAACTCTCAGAGTTTCACTTATACTTCAGTATTGGATTCTGGAAGTGCATAGTGTGGATTGAAGTGTCAGGTGTCTGTGTGCTATGGTTGCTGAGTACATGGTGCATATGGTGCTTATGGTACAGGGTTATTCATCAAACACTGAGATAAGGAAGAGTCAATTATGTTTTCTATAGAATGTGAAAAAGAACTTCATAAACTTTTATTTTGTACTGAAATGATCTTATACTCAAATTTTATTTTATATTGGAATTACAAACAAGATTGAATTACATGACAATCCCAGTTCCCTTCTCCCTCCTTTCCTCCCCTAACACTCCCCCCCCCAGCTAAAAACCGTACCTATCACATATCCTTTCTTCTAATCTACACCTGACTCATCATTTCTGCTCCCTCATGACCTCTGCATCCTTCCTTTTCTTCCCTTCTCATTCTTGTAGCTCCCTCCCCCCTCTCTTCCCATGTTCTCAATTTGCTCAGGGGATGGTGACCCTTTGCGCTTCACCAGGGTACAAAGTTTGTCTCTTTTAGGGTCCTCACTGTTTGCTAGTTTCTCTGGCAGTGTGGATTGTAGGCTGGCAACACCTTACTTCATGTCTAAAATCCACATATGAGCGAGCAAATATCATGTTGTTCTTTTTGTAACTGGGTTACCTCGCTCAGAACGGTTTCTTAGAGTTCCATCCATTTTCCTGCAAATTTCAGGATTCCATCACTTCTTACTGCTGAGTAATACTCCATTGTGTAAATGCACCACATTTTCTCTAACCATTTTTCAGTTGAGGGGCATCTAGACTGCTTCCAGTTTCTGGCTATTACCAATAGTGCTGCTATGAACATCGTTGAACAGATATCCTTGTTGTATGAATGTGCTTCTTTTGGGTATATGCCTAGGAGTGGAATTGCTGGATCTTGTGGTAGACTGATTCCCATTTTCTTGAGGAGCTGACATACTGATTTCCAAAGTGGCTGTACAAGTTGACAACCAGCAGTGGAGAAGTGTCCTCCTTTCTCCACATCTTTTCCAGCATAAACTTTCATTGCTGGTTTTTATTTTAACCATTCTGACAGGAGTAAGATGGTATCTCAGAGTTGTTTGATTTGCATTTCCCTGATGGCTAAGGATGTTGAACACTTTCTTATATATCTTTCAGCCATTTTGGATTCCTCTGTTGAGAATTGTCTATTTAGTTATGTAACACAATTTTTAAATGGACTGTTTGGTGTTTTGGGGACTAGCTTCTTGATTTCTTTGTATATTTTGGAGATCAGCCCTCTGTCAAATGTGGAGTTGGTGAATATCTTTTCCCAGTCTGAGGGCTGATGTGTTGTCTTAGTGCCTATGTCCTTTGCCTTACAGAAACTTCTCAGTTTCAGGAGGTCCCATTTATTAATTGTTGATCTCAGTGTCTGTGCTACAGGTGTAATGTCCAAGTAGTGTCCTTTACCAATTAATTCGAGTGTCCTGTACCAATTAATTCAAGGTATTTCACACTTTATCTTCTAATAGATTCAGTGTGCCTAGGTTTATGTTGAGGTCTTTGATCCATTTTGACTTAAGTTTTGTGAAGGCGGACTGTCTTGGATCTATCTGCAGTCTTCTAAATGTTTGCATCCAGTTATGCCAGCACCATTTGTTGAAGATGTTCTCTTTGTTCCATCGTATATATTTGGACTCTTGTCAAAATCAGGTGTTCGTATATACTCAAATTTAATTGTATAATACTTTTATTTGCCTATCACCTAGTGTTAAAGTTTATCTATGGGAGTTGGACAGATGGCTAAACAGCTAGGGACTCTGATTCCTTCGTAAACGTGGGATCAATTCCCAGTGCCTACTTGGAGGCTCAGAACCATCTATATTTTTAGGCAAGAAATTCTCTTCTAAGGTATGTGGGTACCAGGTACACATGTCGCCAAAACACTTATAGAGGAAGGTAAGCACTGAAACATATGACATAAAATAAATAAACCATTTTGAAAAGTGTTTCTGTGACTTGAGAAATGACTGAGCGGTTAAGCCTACTTGCAGCTCTTGTGTAGTATTCTGATTCAGGTCACAGCAGCCTCTCTTTGTGTTTCAATAGTGTGCAGCACAGTTTTAGGATGGAACCCACATCCTCCTTTGGCCTCTGCAAGCACCAGGCACAAAACATATTGGCAAAGTAATTAAAGATATAAAATTTTAAAAATCTTTAATAAAATTTTTAAAAAGTAAACAAAAAAGAAGATCTTTTATTTTAAGATTACAGATTTAAAAAGTGAGCAGATTTTCCTTTGTAACACAGTGAAAGAATCAAAGTAAGTAAAAACAGAACACATAAAGAGGAAACTCTCCTGAATCCATGAGGCAGTAAAAGAGTGTTTAAAATGAGAGGAAAGGAAACTTTGCAAGAAGGTGGATGGGCTCAACTTTCTCACTCATGGCATTTGGTGGTTGGGGAAGGTGTCAGCAGGAGCTACTTTCAAAACCCAGAGCAGATGAAAGCCTGGCAACCCCACTAGAGACAATAAGAGAACTCATGGGCCTCAAGTCCACTGTGTTCTACTGAAGCAGAGATTCTAACTAGAGACCTTTGGGCAGCAGGAACAAATGCCTTTGGTTACACTGTGTTTCATGAGGTCTATGGCTAGATGACACATTAAGAGAGCATCTGTTGTTCAAAAACTGGCAATTAGCAACCATTGAGGGAGGGACAATTAGTCTTCCCTTGGGATTATCCAATACCCAGTGTTCAACAACATAAGTGGACATGTATATAAATATACATGTGTTTATATGTGTACATATGTATCAATGCATGTATGTATATAAATACACACATGTGTAGCAATATGTACATTGCATAAATTCATATGTGTATAAAATATGTGTATGCATGTAAACATGTATATAAACTTATATATGGGTATAAATTCATACATGAATCCATATGCTTACACATGTATATATAAACATGCATATGAATGCATACATATATAATTTTATGTATGAATTAAATGCATACATGTGAATGTAATCATATATAAATGTAAACATGCAAATAAATACATTCATGTATATAATTACATTCATCTATATAATTTTACATATGTGTATAAATGAATGCATATGAATAAATGTGTACCTCTATATAAATGCATACATGAGAACTCCTGGAAAGAGTCATTTGTGGAGACTGGCTATTTAGAACTCAGTGGTGGGTAAAGATTGGACGATTGCAGATCTAGAAATTCATTACCTTATTCTAGGCTGACTGTAGAAGCCTGAAAAGCCATTTCTTGGACACCTCTGCAAGTGAGGTAGTCTCTTATAACCAAATCTCGTAACTTATCAGAACACTGGCTTCCAACAACCTAAAAGCCAAGAATAACATCAGATGTTATCTTGGGCCTTTCCTATTTTGCCAGGGACCTCTTCTCTGATGTTTCTACCAATTTATTTGAGTTACAGCTTTCTTTATATTTTGCTATGAGATCATCATGAAATTACATCCCCCAAGGGAACATTGAATCTTGGATCACCTAAGTCTGTGTTCATTGGTCATGAACACTCAAATTTGTCTCCAGAATAAATTCTATTTTTTAAATTTGATCTGGGGCTGAGATTTTTCCAATGACACAAAGCAATACTGAACACTAAACAATTGATTCCGTGGTTATATTTGTACCTTTGTTTATATATGTGTGTGTGAATATTTCTTCATAACAATAATTATAAAATAATGAATTTGGGAAGGAACAAGGCTGGGGGGACAGGATATAGTTGGAGGTAGGGAAAAAAGAGGAAATTATGGAATTGGCTTTTAAATGTGGAGACATAGGGGAGGGGATATGATCAAAACCTATTGTCTGTAATTTTTAAGTAAACAAGAAAAAATAATAATATAAAAATTTTAATATACAAAAAGTTTTAAAGATTGACCAATATAACACATTAAAATCAAGAAGATTCCACAAGGTATTTTTACTGTATTGTGTGTTCCTCAAGAAGTTCTGAGTGATAGAACATAACATGGATTTTAGAGAGCAGGAAAATTATGAATCAGAGGATTCCGGTGGCAGGTAAGATCTCTAGGAAGGACATAAGAAAGACAGCCCAGCCCTAGAAATACACAAACAAGGCTTCACTCCAGAGCATTATCTTGGAGTTTGAATGAAACCTCTGAGCCTTAGTCCATGGAGTTGTTAAAAGTATAGAATTATGAATCTGTTGAACATTGCAGGGAAGCCCAAGAATGTGAGGTTCCTGGGTTCTGCTTGAGAGCCCCACACCAGCCCCCATGCCTGGTGATTAATACCTAACAGGTTTTCCATTGTCATTGTGTGTACTGTTCCCATGCTAATAAGGCTTTCCAGTCTTAAGACACAATGGAAAATCCCTCCAGCTTAAGAGAAATCAGAGCAGTAAATTCTGGGGTGGCCCTAGACAGTGAAATAATCTAGCCAACCCCCAGAATTCATGGATCAATGTAGCCACAGAGCTCTGATGTTCAAAGGAGGAAAATGGCTCCTATAAACACAAGCTGGTGGACATCAGACACTAATCCAATAAAGACTCAGGAAGAATATCAGCCAAAAAAAAAAAAAAAAAAAAAAAAGATTCCACACTGTCCACCAACTTCCATCAATATGTACAGCTGGAAGTCTGAAATTACTGAGGATAGGGATATTCCTTTCTACTAAAGTTTAATCCACTACATCTAGCAGAGTACGTATATTTTCATTGTTTTCTAATGTCTTATATGCCTAAAATATAGTTTCATCAAATCTGCACCTCAACCTTATCATCCACTTTGGATGCTAGCAGGTAGGAATACAGTCAGACACACCTGA